AGTAAAATGTCTTAAAACACATGCCACAATAAAATGGGTTTGTTTTTACATTTTCTAGTGATGGGATTTAATTTATTTTAATTGCACTCCATTCAGAAGTTTTGCAAACCAGACACTATTTGGACAGGTTGGTTGGTTGGTTGGTTGTTGTTGTTTTTACAGTTTCTGTGTAGTAGGAGTCTGAGTAAGATTCATGGGTGTGTTTAAACTTTGGCATCATCCAGGGAGTAACTCTGCCTTTCAGAGAGGAGCCTGCTGAAGAGTGCATGAAGGAATGAAGCAGAAGGCTGGAAATTTGTAAATATGGAGAACTCATGTCAGGAGGGCCAGGCTAAAATACTTTATGTAGTTATTTTATGATATATATATATATATATATATATATATATACACATACATATATATATATACATACATATATATATACATATATATATATATTTAATACCTAGTATTTTAACCATCTTAAAGTGTACATTTCAGGGCTGGGGTGATGGCTCGGTGGTTAACAACATACAGGTCTTGCAGAGGACCTAAGTTCAGGTTCCTACATCCACACTGGCCAAGGAGTCCCCCTTCTGGCCTCTGTGGGTACTACACTCATGTGCACAGGCACACATGCAAACACATCCTTTAAAATAAAATAAGCATCTTTTTATTTTAAACTGTACAGTTCAGTGGCATTAGAACATTCACAGTGCTCTAACATCCCCGTCAGTCCATTTCCAGGACATTTTCATCATCCCAAAGAGAAACTCTGCCCACGGAGTATGAATTCCTTCTCTGTTTCTCAGGTCCCTGAAAGCCTTTCGTCTGCTTCTGTGTCTGTGGCATATGAAGTGTGTCATGTGAAGTGAAACTCTTCAGAACTCACCCTTTTCTGTACCCACTCCCTTACTTAGTAGAGTGCTTGCAGAGTTTATCAGTATATCAGGGGCCGCTCTTCTTTCAGGGTGAATAATACTTCATTGTACAGAGACACCACAATTTGTTTAGCCATTCATCTGCTGACTTATATTGTACTGTTTCCATATTATGCAAAATGTTATTGCATAAGTATGTGTGTTCAGGCTTTCTTTTTCTTTAAGCATTGCCTACAAATAGAACTGCTATTTGACAATTTTTATACTATCTTTAATTATCCCTGTTGGATAATAGAAAAAGCAATATTCAACCTGACGGTAACACAGTGCTTATGCGTGTGTTTGCATGTTTTTGTGTACGTGTTCATGTGTATATGTGCACACACACATATTTGAACACTCATGTGGAAGCCAGAGGTTGATATTGTGTATCTTCCTCAGTCACTCTCCACCTCATTTTTTGAGGCAGGATCTCTTCCTGGGCAGAGATCACCAGTCTAGCTCAACTGCCCACATAGTGTGCTCCAAGGATCTGCCAATCTCCATCTCCACTGGGTTCGAATTACAGATGGGTACTGCCACACCTGAGTTATTTCATGTGTTCAGAAGATTTAAATGCAGGTCCTCAGTCTATGCCTCTTTTTCCTATGTTCACTTCCTGTCAACTGGTCCCTTGACCTACCGTTAATTTTATTTACTCCTGTTTTGGGCTAAAGGTGTGTGCTAGAGCTGAGCCACACTGCAACTAGAAAGAGGTTTTTCCAGCAAACAACACAATCTCAGGGTTCATAATGTGATCAAAAACCCTGCAACAGTGCATTCATCTGAAGGAGCCCAAGGAGGAAAAATAGCCATAAGATCATAGCCGAGGCTGAGCTACAAAGTGAGACATTGGGGGGTGGGGAGGAGAAAAAGCTGATACATTATCCTCACTATCTCTAGAAATTAGCTATCCCTAGAAGCATGGGCCCCTCTGATCAACAAGAGCCCAGATACCAAAGGATAACTTATAGGAGGAAAAATGAATTTAACACATACTTTAATGAAGTCATTCAAATATAAACATCCACTGATTCTTAACAGGGACTCATCAGCCTTGCAGATTCAATGCTTAAACAGAAGTTCCCCATTCCCATATCTATTAAGATAAATTGGGGAGATTTCTAGGTTATATTCTCCTGCTCGCACACCCAGGCTGATGGGATGAACACTTCAGCAGCTGGGCATCAGCAGCCCCTGTGTGGACTCTTCTGTGCCTCTGAGGCAGGGAACCACTGGTCCAGGGCAATGTTTTCCAATTTCTGAACCAGAAACAGAAGCAGCACCTCCTGGGGATTTGCTGTGAGTGCAGGGATTTGGCACAGGGCAGATAGTGGGTAAAGTTCTGTGCAATCACAGGGACCTGAATTTCAATTCCCAGAACCCATGCAAAAAGTCCATCAAGGTAGCTCATACCTTTAATCCCAGAACTGGTAGGCAGACACAGGACAGGACAATCCTTCAAGCTTTCTGGCTACCCAGCCTAGCCAATCAGTGAGCTCCATGTTAAGTTAGAAGAGATGCCGCCTCAAAAATTAAGGTAGAGAGGCCTAGAATAAGATAATCAATGCCAACCTGTGACCTGCACATGCAGCTGTCTGGGCACACACACACCCTTACCGATATACTCACCTTCCTCTACACATGCTCACACATGCAAGCATCACAAATACAAATGCATAAAGTAAATAAGCACTGGGGTTTTTATGTCCAGATCCCTGCAATTGCTCAAGTCTTCTAGGGTAATCCGAGGCCAACAGTGAGGAGCACATGGATCCAAAGAATGAAGCATCTATTGGTCAACAGTAGATCCAACAGGAGGGTCTCATGCGTCCCTCTCCAGACAACCCCAAAAAGGCTAAGGCAGCAGCCTGTCAAGGCACAACCAGAGTGTTTGGTCATTGGGGAATTATCAATCCATCCACAGGAGACAGAGCTGTTCTTTCCGGAAGGGACTGTGAGGGACTCTAAAGGGTTCTCTGGTTCTGTCCATCCCTGTGATCTCTAAATGCTTTGCTTGCAAGCATGGTCAGCATAAAAACCTGATGGAAGGACTGAAAACAAATTGGGTACATAACACACAGTTGCTGCTGTGGTGGCTACAGGAGGAGATGACTACTGCCCAGGGGATCCTGAGAGCCCAAGGAGCAAGGATCAGCCCATCTGCACATGACAGATGTGCTACCACTCTGCCCACCAATTCTGCAGCTTGTGGCTCAGGATGCCTCAAGTATTTTCAAATTGTCAATTTTTCATATTCATAAGAGACTGGAGATATAGCAGAGCTGTGGAGATTTACAAAGAAATTGAAAGCAAATGGAGCCTCAGCAAGAGAGATGGAATGCCTACATGGATTCCATATTGAAAAGTGAGAGTTACAAGATCCAGCTATACCACTCCCAGGCATATATCCAAAAGATGCTCAAGTACACAAGGACATTTGCTCAACCATGTTCATAACAGTTATTTTTGTAATAGCCAGAAGTTGGAAATAACCCAGATGCTCCTCAATTGAGGAATGGATACAGAAATTGTGGTGTGTTTACACAATGGAATACTACTCAGCAATTAAAAACAAGGAAATCATGAAATTTGCAGGTAAATATGGGAACTAGAAAAGATAATCCTGAGTGAGGTATCCCAGAAGCAGAAAGACACACATGGTATATACTCACTCATAAGTGGATATTAGACATATAGTATATGATAAATATACTAAAATCTGTACACCTAAAGAAGCTAAACAAGAAGGAGGATCCTGGGTAAAATGATCAATCCTCACTCAGAAAGGCAAATGGGATAGATCTTGTAAGGGGGAGAAAACAAGGAACAGTACAGGATGGACATCAGAAGAGGGAAAAAACAGGGAACAGGACAGGAGCCTACCACAGAGGGCCTCTGGAAGACTCTACCCTGCAGGGTATCAAAGCAGATGCTGAGACTCATAGCCAAACTTTAGGCAGAGTGCAGGGAATCTTATGAAAGAAGGGGGAGATAGAAAGACCTTAAGGAGACAGGAACTCCACAAGGAGAGCAACAAAGCCAAAAAATCTGGACACAGGGGTGTTTTCTGAGACTGATACTCCAACCAAGGACCATGTATGAAGATAACCTAGAACCCCTGCACAGATGTAGCCCATGGCAGTTCAGTGTCCAAGTGGATTCTCAAGTAATGGGAACAGGGACTGCCTCTGACATGAACTCAGTGACTGGCTCTTTGATCACCTCCCCTGAGGAAGAAGCAGGCTTACCAGGCCACAGAGGAAGACAATGCCGCCACTCCTGATGAGACCTGATAGACTAGGATCAGATGGAAGGGAGTGAGGACCTCCCCTATCAGTGGACTGGGGGAGGGGCATGGGTGGAGAAGGAGGAGGGAAGGTGGGGCTGGGAGGGAAAGAGGAAAGGGTTACAGCTGGGATACAAAGTGAATGAACTGTAATTAATAAAAAGAAAAAGAGAAGAAAAGTTAGAGTTAGCCTTGACCGTAAGAGAGTGGAAGAAAACAAGTCTAGGGGCAGCTTTTCCCCAGCGGTGAGAAGGTGGTTCTCGGCCAGGAGGGCGTGGTATACACCTGCAACCTCAGTGGAGCTCTGAAGGAAGAGGCAGGAAGATGAAGAGGTCCAGGCCATCCTCCAGCCCCTGCTGCTGCTGCGGTTTGAAGGGAAATGTCCCCCACAGGCCCATGTGTTTGGTCCCCAGCTGGTGGCGCTATCTTTGGAAGGTTACAGAATCGTAAGAGATGGAGACTTGCCAGTCTCCCAGCCCAGACCCACTTTTCTTCCCTGATTCCTGACTACAGCAGCAGTGTGGACTGCCATGGTGGACTGTATCCTCTCAAACTGTAAGCCAAAATGAACACTTCTTCCACTCAGTTTTTCCTGTCAGATATTTGCTGACAAAAACAAGAAAAGTTATAAACATGGGGAAAGCCCACGAGAAGAAGGTAAGTTAAACTGACTTGTTCTGTCTGGCTCATCACCCATTCATTCTACACGAACTGTATTCCTCCCTGCACGATGGCCAAGACCGAGAAAGCTATCCACAAGCCGTAATCGCCTGCTATTTCTAAGACTGACTCCTCTGTCCACCTCCCAGGTACCACATCTGTGTGACGGTGCTGATCTACTTCCTGCCCCTGCTGGTGATTGGCTACGCCTACACGGTCGTGGGAATCACGCTGTGGGCCAGCGAGATCCCCGGGGACTCCTCCGACCGCTACCACGAGCAAGTCTCCGCCAAGCGCAAGGTGAGCCAAGGTCAAACTGGTGTAGCCCAGCCTACCGCTACAGGGGCCTAACGTCCCAGAAGCAGGAGCCACAAAGCTTCTCTGGATCAGGGACAGGAGAAGAAAGCAGGTCTTTCTTCATCCCCACAGGTACACTCATAGGCAGTCACACGTATGCACAAACTCTCATATATGCACATATTTATACACACACAAAAGTACTCACACACAGGCACACACGTACATACGCAGATCACATTCATATACATACACATCAGTACTCACATATGTGTGCACATCCACGGATACGCACACACATGGACATTCATACACATGCACACACATGTACAGACACTCATACACATGCAAACACGAACAGTCACATACATGTACACAGATAGAGGCTCCTATACATACACTCACGAGCCTTCTACCTATACTTATAAGCCTATATATACACGGGAATACTCACACACATAAATTCATACACACACATATATATATCACGTGCGCACGCTCACGTACTGACGCTATACTCAAGTGCACACGCGCATAGACACACACACAGATACTTTATATATAACTCATGTGCAGTCACACAGTCCTTCCTGTGCACACTCATATACATGCTAACATACATATTCATATACACATGTGCTAATCTACAGTTATGCAAACATGTAACAAACTCATACACATGTCAAATACTCATACATACGTATCCATTTATGTATGCGTGACTTGCACAGACACACACACTCACAGACAAATGCACACAACTTACAGACATACACACATGCATACACAAAGCGCCGTTGCCTGAAATTTATAATGAGAGAAATTGGTCTCCACAGCTCTAGAGGCCAGGAGTCCAAGCTGAAGGCAGAGCTGGTGTCTGGTGAGGTCACTTCCTGCTCACGGCAGCTGCCTTCACCCTGGGCGCTCACACGGTGGAAGAGCATGGGAGCTCCAGGGCCTCTCTTACAAGGGCCTTAATCCTGTCTAAAAAGCTTTGCTCTCTGTGTCTAATAGCTTCCCAAAGGCCTGTGTCCTAATACTGTCACATGTCAATGGCAGCTGGGATTCAGCATGAGATGAGGCCTGACATGAACATTCAGGCTCCTGGGTCTTACAGATCTTCCTCAAACCCCCTTTAAACACGGCTTATTTCCTTATGTGGACTCTTCAGTCCTCACCCTTCTTCCCTCTGCTTCAGTCTCCAAGCCAGGCACCTACCTCAGCTCCCCTCGTCCCCTGAGCCAGCCCCTGCTGCCTTCCCTGCACCTTGTCTCCCGAGTCCCCATGCATTCCTGCTCATTATCTCGCCCTTGGCCCGTCAGGGTCTCCTTACAGCCCCCTCTGCAGCGTTTCTGGTCCACTGCAGATTATAAATCTATATATCTGGGATGAGACCGGGAACCTTTAACTCCTAACAAGTCCCTGGTGACACCGAGGACGCAGCTCTGCACCACACCCTGGGGACTGGCTCAGACCCTGAATCCGAAGTGCTAAGGCGTTCGGCCTCCTTAGAAGACCGTGTTATAAACAGGGTCCCACTCACACCGCACAGTGACAGGGAGGGGAGAGAAGCCACCCCCTCCCAGCGCCGCAGCGCCCACAGAGCTGTCCGCCTTGCCCTCTCCCCAGGTGGTCAAGATGATGATCGTGGTCGTGTGTACCTTCGCCATCTGCTGGCTGCCCTTCCATGTCTTCTTCCTGCTGCCCTACGTCAACCCGGATCTGTACGTTAAAAAGTTCATCCAGCAGGTCTACCTGGCCGTCATGTGGCTGGCCATGAGTTCCACCATGTACAACCCCATCATCTACTGCTGCCTCAATGACAGGTGAGTTACCCGAGCTCACGCCAAGGCTCGAGCGCCGTCAAGAGGGAGTGGTGGCTCTGCAGCAAGCGAAGCGCACACCCCAAGCCCTGCTCATCGGCCCGGCAACGGTGTGAGCCCAGAGTGGACGGTTTTCTTTTCCCAGAAACAAAACAACAGGCATCTTCAATTTTATGTGTGATACAGTTTTGTTTTGTTTTTTTTCTTGTTGAGTGCAAATTTGTATGTGTGAGTGGGGATCTGTGTGTGCACACAGAGGCCGGAGGAGAAGGTCGGACGCTTGCTCTGTCATTACTTCTCTTATTCCCTTGAGACAGTCTTTCACTGAACCTAACCTCGGCTGGCAGCCAGTAAGCCCCCATGATGGCTCTGCCGCCACACCCCACCACACACAGCCAGGGGTACGGGTACTGTACAAGCACTGCTTTACGTGGGTCCTGGGAATTTGGATCAGGGCCTCACATGAAGCAAGCTCTCTAATCTGTTGGGCAATCTGCCGATGTCTTGTCTTCTGATTTTTAAAAACTGGAGACTGAGATAGTGGGATTGAGAGCTCGTTGGCACTGTTACGTGCTGACGTGCTAGATGTTCTTTTTGTCCCTCGGTCTCTTCCGGGTCACTTCTTCAGATTCATCTTGCATTTTCAGCACCACGGAGTAAGCAAAAGAAGGTCAGAGCTTCCAAGACCCGTTCCTACCCTTACTTTGTCAGACAGGCTAAGGGAATTCCCTCTCAACACCATTAATGCAATTCAGAGATGAAAGATCTCTTGGGACCTGCTGCCAGCCATCAAGATTTCACTGTGGCAGGTAGAGTGCACCCAGGAGGTACCTGGGACACCAGGCTACAATGTCATTGTCACCCAAAGAAGCATCCAACCCCTATCTGGGGAAGGGTGCTGAGGTGAAGGGGAAATAGAAAATCCCTGTCACCCTTGTCTGTCTGTCTATCTGTCTCTCTCATCAGCAGAGAAGGGCCCCCTGTAACTGAGACACTTAGGTACTGTAAGTACATGAATTATACCCCCTTGAACTTGCTCCCAAAAACTCTATTCATCTCATAGTTCCAGCTTCTAAGAGCTTGGTGACCTGGCTCCAATTTTTTAGATTAAGTCTCCTAGCACATCTTTAAATAAAGGAGATTCTCCATGTTTAACAAGTAGGGAAACTGAGGCACCCTGATAAAACATCACTGGCAGTCAAGGGTTGAGTCTTGATATATACCTTTACTGTGGGCCTGGAATACTAGTTACCTTTCTATTGCTGAAGCAAGATGCCATGGACAAAACGACTTAGAGGAGAAAGGATTAATAAAGACCTATTGTTCCAGAGGAATAGGAGTCTATCATGGCAGGGGACTGTGGCAGCAGGTAGTGGACATGGTGGCAGGAACAGCTGAGCGCTCACACCTCCAACTGCAAACAGTAAGCAGAGAGAATGAAGCTAGATTGGCAGAGGCTTTTGAAACCTTAAAACCAGTGACATACTTTTCCCAGCAAGGCCACACCTTCTGAGTCTACCCAAAGCAGCACGACCACCAACAGGGAAGCAAATATTCAAATGCCTGAGACTACGGGGAACATTTCTCATTCAAAGCACAACACTCAACAACCAGGCCAAAAGGTACACAGAAATATATACAGGTGTGGGGTGGGTTTTATTGATGTTCAGTTAACCCAACATCTTCTGCTTATAAACCTAGTAGGAAACAACCTTATTCTGGGATGCCCCTAAGAAAGACTTGGCAACTGCCTGTGACAGGGGCTTGTCATCAGCATTTCCAGATATGAACTATTTTGAACATGCAATGACACAGAATCGCCTGAGTAGGTCCCATGAGGACCCAGCACTATGGGGAGGAAAGCCCTCTAAGGTAGACAGCCTCAGGGCTCACCTCGCCATCCTTTTTCTCCAGGTTCCGTCTGGGCTTCAAACACGCTTTTCGCTGCTGCCCCTTCATCAGTGCTGGTGATTATGAGGGGCTGGAAATGAAATCTACCCGATACCTCCAGACCCAGGGCAGTGTCTACAAGGTTAGCCGCCTGGAGACCACCATCTCCACTGTGGTGGGAGCCCATGAAGACGAGGCAGAAGAAGGCCCCAAGGCCACACCCTCATCCTTGGATCTCACCTCCAATGGCTCTTCCCGTAGCAACTCCAAGACCATGACAGAAAGCTCCAGCTTCTACTCTAACACGCTGGCCTAGAGAGTGGGCATATTTTAAGGGCGTGGCCACCAGCCCATCCTGTGTCCTGACTCATTTATTCATGGAAATCTTTGATCTAGATTCTGTTGGAAATACCCTAACACTGGAGCTTCTGGAAAGGGTCATAATGGTTTAAAGAAAACATTCCACGCTGTATTTAACCTGAACTCCTTGTTGTCTTTGTCAACTACCCTCCATGCTTGTGAGCCAAGGCAGACCAGTGAATGTCTATAAAATGAGAAGGTTATCCTCCATTCCCCTACAGGTCATCCCATGATTCCTGAAATTACTCCATCTGCATGCGGGTGCTCATGTGGGGAGGAATTCTACAGGGCAGTAATGAATCCAGCAGACCTGTTTGCCTGGGGCCCTGTCTTTCTTCAGTAAAGTCATCCTCAGCCATCTGCGGGCTAGCTCACACCACTCCAGCCTTCCACAGGACAGTGTGAACAGAAGAAGGTGGCACCTAAATCCGCTGTCTCTCCACCCAAGCACACATGGCTAGGACTCACATCTTTTCGACATCTCAATATTTCAGTTCACTTGAACATCCCGGGATTGAGGGCTTTGGGTTCTTCTGCATCATGCCCTCCAATGCAGCGAGCCCCAACTGAATACGTCTACAGAGGCCAGCTGTACTCTAACCAAGAGTCAGGATCTGTGCCAGGCTTCACTGAGACTCTTTCCTTCTTTGTAAAGCAACAGGGCTGAACCAAATACTCTAAGTGCCCCCGTGGGTCTCAGTGTTCCCTTGTTTAACGAGATATATATTGCTTTGTCTCCTCCCCTCATGAGCACGTGCATACACACACACACACACACACACACACACACACACACAAATAAAAAAAATCAAATTAAAAAAAAAAAACAATGGTGATCTAAGAAATACCAGGAGTGGCAATCCCTAGAGATGGGTGTATGTAAATATTCTCCCACTGATTCAAAAACCTTGATTTAAAAATCCTTCTCCAGGAAGATCCTGGTCTTTGACAGAGCAGAGGACTTCTCCAGCAGGCTGCTGCAAGCTTCTTCCAGCTCTGCAAACAGGAGAGTGTGGACTTCCTGCTCTGGCTGTTCGCATCTTTGCGCAGGGGTCTTAACTCGGATTTTTCACTTTTTGCGACGTACAGGGTGGAGGGAGGGGGTTGCCCTCTGCAGCACACTCCTGGGAAGAGGAGCCTTTGCATCTTCTCTTCAGACTCTGAATCATGCCCTCCTGCTCCACTTGGCTGGTCTCTGTCTATAAGAGGTTGAATGATCCACCAACCCAAAGGACATTTAGTCTGCAGAGAGCAGAGAACTGAAAACATTATGTGCTGCTATAGTTTCAGGATCTCTAGCAGCTGAGCACACTGTTTCTTGTTGTCTCCCAGATGTATGCCCTGTCCAGATGTGGCTGGAAGCCACAGCTTTGTGAACATCCATGGATGTCCTCATGGTTCAGATAATTGGATGCACACAAGTTCCATCCATTATGTCGGGGGAACAGTGCCACCCATCACCAGGATTTAGAGCTTCTTCCAGCCTTGTTGGATTAATCCTATGGGGTATCAGTATACCTGGGGGAGTCAAAGATTGTATAGAAATAATGCAAGCCAGGAAAAAGAGAAGAGATGCGTATTCTGCAGAGCATTATGGAAAATATTTAATAAACTAAGTAAAGCCCACTCAGTGACAATCTATGAGAAAGTAAAATGGAGGGGCAACAAACGTCAATGCCCAAATTGTTAATTATACTTCCAATAAAGATCGTGCTACATATAGATGCAAAGAAATATGGTTATGAAAAGTACTCAAGAAGACGACATCCAGCGTTGAGGACTCCCCTTCTGCAGAAGACAAGGTTAGGGTAAAGTTGGCAAGGATCTATGGAGCGCCTGCTCTGGTCTTTGCCCTGAGCTGAGGACACACAGCTCCTTCCACCCTGAGGAGCTTCCTGTACCTGCCATTCCAGATTGCATCCGTCCTGGGGAAGCCAGGCCACTCACCAGCCATGGAGGCATGGAGAAGCAGATCCCTCCTAGGGTTTAAAAACCTGACTTTCAAAGTGAGTACTCAAACCAAGGGGTGGGGCTCTCAGAGAGCCTCTGCAATAGCAGGGCTCTGTGCTGACTCTGAAGAGAGCTGCCAGCCGGCTCAGGGGAGCTAAAGGACAGCGATAAGAAATTTCATTCCTTGCGTAGCACAAGGGAAGATGAGGTGGACCTGGGTTTGTGGACATGCCAAAGCAACCCTCAGTGAGACCAGAAAGTTTCTCACTGACCCTCCTCCAAGTCCATTTAATTTGTAGAAATGTCGTCAGTCCCTGTGTGTTGGAACACTGTGGTTTGTGCTCTGTGCATGGGTCTCGTATTGAAATGTGTCGCCCTGTGTTTATCTCCTGAGTTTCCTTGGTGTGCCCCCAGTAGCAGTAGGCTGGGAGAACCCTGGAGCATCTCCCTGGCCATCCTTTCTGTGTTACCTTCACCCTGCAGGATCCCAGTGCCGTTGGCGTGTTCCTGTTGCGCCAGTCTCCTCCTGCCCCAGTTTCTTCTTGGAGAGGAGCTCTGAAGCGTGCCTCATTCTCATGGAGTGGAAGGATGGGGAAGGGACCTCACAGGCAGAGCAAACACCCTTAATCCTTCATCAGAATGTTCAGGCAAAGGGCTAAGTGGAATCCTGGGAGAGGAGAGGACTCAGGCCCGAGGAAGAGTGTCCATAAAGAGGGGTCACTCCTGAGGCATCTGTGTTTGGGGCCTGGGATGCTGAAAAGAATGTCTTCTGGGAATAAAGTGTGCTTTCCGCTATCTCGTGCTTTTGTCTCTTCTCTGGTAAACAGGGACATTTCTGGGCATGGACTGGGATGACATTGGGAACTCTTGCAAATTTCACAGCCAGAGTATGAAAACCTTGAGTCTTCTCAGTGCTGTGGTGGCATGGATACGGGCTGGCAAAATCCAGGATGTGTTTCCAGGCTGGGAAACAGGAACTTGGGGTGAGACTGTGTGGCAACACCAACAATGTCACCTATGAACACAGAGGTGTCAGTTCAAGCTGTCCATGCAGAAGATGACAAAGCAGCTAAGTATACAAGAGATAGCCTGGAGGCAAGGTAGATCACGTGGGAAACGAGGATCATGCTAGAGGATACAGTGGGAGCAGGGGAGGAATTTAGACCACCACATATAGGCTTGGTTGGGTATTTGAACGCTTGGAACCATTGAGAGGTAGGGGCCCCACTAGAGGATGTTCATCCCTGGCAAAGGGACTCTAACCCCCCAAGTGAACTTTTTGTTCTATAAGTTGCCTCGGTCGAGGTGTTTTGTCACAGCAACAGAGAGGTAACTAATGTGAATGGGGAAGAGAAGCTCAGTGCATGTAGGGACTCGTCAAGAGAAGCTCACATTTGCTTTAGCAGAAATGGTCAAGCTGGCACCCATCAGGCTCAGTACTGCCTGGGGAAAGAGGTGTCCACACTTGAATGATGTGGCAGCCCTCAGGGCTGCACCTGGGCTTGGAGGGAGGGTATCAGTTGATGCCACTCCTCACCCATTCTTCCTCCAAGCAGATCGGTGCCATGCAGCTGCATGACTGGTACAACAGCTTTGGTCCAGGCCTCTGCATTAGCAAACACAGCAGGAAACCCCATAGACTGGAAACAAACATCAGTGGCAATCACTGTAAGAGCAGGCAACCAGCCTCCCGCTGCTGGGCCACCTTCCACAGGCAGGGCCACCAAGAGAGCCATGAGACACTGCAGACACACTTGCAGTGGCAAATAGGAGGACAGAGGAGAACAGAGAACTGCCACCCAATCAGAACAATGAAGACTCTCTTTTTTAAATTAAGACATCTTAGAAACTGCTCCCAGAACAAGCTTCAAGGAATCCACAAGTTCCCTTCAAGCTTCCCACATCTCACAGGGAAAATGCTCTCTACCTTCGGAGTGGGGGAGGAAGGGTACATAGGGTTAAAGCAACCTTTAACCCTATGCTGTCCAACAATAGGAGAGGCAGTCAATTGTTTCAGAGAAGGATGAGAAGCCTAAGGTCTTCCAAGCACAGAGAGGGGTAGATGAGCCCCAGAAAAACCAGCCTGGCTGTCAGGAAACAGCTTTTAAAATCATACTTCCTCTCAGGCAGCCTGATGATTTAAAGCTTTAGACAAAACCATCTAGCTCATGATGAAGGGGTGTGGCCACTCTTCATTGAAAGCCACGTCCCTTGCATAAGCAATGGCAATATAGGTCAACAGATAACACAAGGTTTGAAAGACCAATGTGGAGACACAAAGATGTTTCCATTTGCTCCAGCAATGTGTGCAACGCATCCTAAAGATATTCACCCCAGTAGCCATAGCAGGGCCTGCTAATACTCTCCCCTGGACCCCCTCCATTCGTTTGGTGAAAGAGTGAATGGACCTCCTCAGCTCTGACCCCCCGAGCAGTGGTTCAGTCAAGGTCTTGGGATGGGACAGATGGAGAATGCCCCACTCCATCTTCAAGGGTAAATAAGGCATCTGAGCCTGCAGGTAGTCTAAGATGTCATCACTTATTTCTACCCAGTTCGGGAGAGCAGAGGGGAGGCAAAGAGGCTGAGGATCAGAACCTCGTGGCACAGTTTCCACACAATGGTTGCAGAGGTCCCCCTCTCAAGCATCACAGCGCGGGAAGAGAAGATTGCTGATGAGCAACAAGTGACCAGACGAGACCAAAGGCAAATACTGGAGGCTACCTATCCAGCTAGCTCTGCGTCTGTTCAGGTTCAAGCCTGGGTCCTCTGCACTGTGTCTCCTTTCTTCCTTTCCCCCCCTTTATTTTTCCTTTTTTTTAAGATTCATTTACTTACTTACTCACTTACTTACTTACTCACTTACTTACTTACTTACTTACTTACTTACT